GCGATTTTGACATTGGAGATTGTTTCTTAAATTTCGTATTGCACGAGACTCTCCAGTCTTTGTGCGGAGTGGACCTCACTAAATACTTCGGAGAAGGTGATATCTTGTGGGAACGCTGGGTTCGAGCCGCAATGGGATTGAAAAGTTCACCGTACCAAGCTGTGCAAGCTATCATGGTGGCAAAGGAGATCGCCTTGGGAGATAGGAAGGACCCAAAGAACGCATTTAGGTGGGACGAAGTCAAGTTGAACCTACCAGGTTCAAGTACGTATGACCCCAGCTTGCCTTGGGTGTTCAAGATCCGGTGGTCTGATGGTAAAATTGCTGCGGATTTGTTCATCTATGTCGACGATGGGAGAGTTACAGCATCCAATAAGTTGGAATGTAAGCAGGCAACTCGGCAGGCGGCTAGTCGTTTGAATGGACTTGGTATTCAAGAGGCTGCGAGAAAACGAAGATGGGGATCACGAAACCCGGGAGCCTGGGCTGGATCCTTGGTAAAAACCACTGAGGATTCAGTAAGTGTGTTCGTGTCTCAAGAAAAGTGGGACAAGACCAAGCTTCAGGTTAAGGAGATTGCGGAAGAACTTAGTGGGTCAACGTCGGGGTCTTTGAAGCACAAGGCGCTAGAAAGAAAGCGCGGTTTTCTAATCTATGTTACTCGAACCTACCCAACGATGATTCCCTACTTGAAAGGAATACATCTAACCCTTGATGCTTGGAGACCAGGGCGAGATGATGAGGGATGGAAGTCTATTGGTTACAAGGGAGAGTCGCCAACTCCAAGTTCACAAGAGGCTCCGGAATATGTGAAGGCAGTACCTAGACTGAAGGATGACTTGGCTGCGTTATCGGCTCTCACGGCCTCAGAGAGTCCCCCAATTCGGAGAGTACGCAGCAAGAGGGTGATGACGGTATTCTATGGGTTTGGAGACGCATCAGCGGTTGGATTCTGCAGCACGTTTCAGCGTTTCTCTAAGCAAGGAAGCGGCTTCATCGCGGAAGACAAAATACACTATCGGTATGGGCACTGGTGCACAACCAATGGCGAGGAATCGTCCAATTACAGGGAGTTGCTGAATCTGGTGGAGTCTCTGGAAATGCGAGTACGAAATGGTGAATTGTATGGTGTGGAGATCTTTCTATTCACTGACAATTCTACTGCCGAAAGCGTGTTCTACAATGGGAACTCCTCATCCAAGAGATTATTTCATCTCATACTAAGGTTGCGGCGAGTACAGCAGGAGGCTGACTTGATCCTTCACCTCTTGCATGTGTCGGGCAAGAGAATGATAGCGCAGGGTACGGATGGTGGCTCAAGGGGAGATTTGAACCAAGGGGTCATGACGGGAGAAAATATGCTGAATTATGTACCTTTGCATCTTTCTGCAGTGGATAGATCTCCGTTAGTACTTGATTGGATGAGAAACATATGGGAGGAAAGATTGGGGAAATTGGAGCATCTGGGAATAGATGATTGGTTCACCAAGGGTCATGGAAGAGGAAATTTTCTGTGGACGCCACCTCCCGCGGCCGCGGATGTGGTGGCGGAGCAAGTAGGAGAGGCGAGGCATAAGCACCCTGAATCGTGCCA